AGAGAGAAGCAGGGCGTTGGGGTGCAGCCCCCTTCCTGCAGGCTGGTGGGCTCTCAGCAACTTCAGTAGAAGAACTTGAGGCTTTTGCAGAATAGGTTCTGGGCTCATCTGTGGGTACTGTTTCTTGCTCTGTCAGGGGTCAGGAAACCAGTTCCCCTACCCAGTGGTTATCTGGGATTTTTACACCATCTCAATAACTTTCTAAAACGTAGACAAAGAGTCAGGCAATAGGGTAAGTGTTTGTAGTACAAGGTTCAACTATTAACAATAATGGGTAACCCAACAGAATCAAACCAGGAGTCTCCCATGGAGAGGAGGGTGGATGGGCAGGATTTGATCCAGGTTCTGAGCGGAGGAGCTGCTGCCAGCTTCTAGGCCCACCCAGGGCTGGAACCTAGGCGAGAACAGCCCTTAGCTCTGCTGGGCCCTAGTCTGGGAGTCCCAGCCCGCAGGGCACAAATGGCCTGGCAGCCACACTGGTGGGGCTGTGGCTGGGCTAGATAGCTGGCTAAGAGGCTGAAACAGGGCAGCCCCGTTCGTGATGATCCTGTGAGCAAGCTTTGGTGGTAGCCTCTGGCAGGAGCCATTTCTCAAGCCTTCTGAGCAATGTCTGCTGGCCTTGCTCGAGTCACAGTGCCTGTCAATCTGATTTCAGTGACGTTTTCCTTTCTTCCCAAGGACCTCAGAGAAATACATTAAGACCACTTCTGAGGAGCCTGGCTCAATCAGGGCTAAAGATCTGTCCAGTACCAGACACTTCTCCCTTTCTGTGCCCACCACTGAAAGTCCCCTGGGTTCCTCTCTCAGCCAAGCAGCTTTCAAGTCGGTACCTGAACTCTCCTGTTTCTTTTCACCCCATCTATTTGGCATAGGTCTCTTTGTTAGGAGTCTGAACAGAGTGTCTGGTGAAGGGGTTATGTCCCTCAGGCAGTGAGCCACCAGCGGTGGGTGTGTATGTGTGTGTGTTAGGGGTCTGAAGAGTGTCTGGTGAAGGGGTTATGTCCCTCAGGCAGTGAGCCACCAGCGGTGGGTGGGTGGGTGTGTGTGTTAGGGGTCTGAAGAGTGTCTGGTGAAGGGGTTATGTCCCTCAGGCAGTGAGCCACCAGCGGTGGGTGGGTGGGTGGGTGTGTTAGGGGTCTGAAGTGTGTCTGGTGAAGGGGTTATGTCCCTCAGGCAGTGAGCCACCAGGGGTGGGTGGGTGGGTGTGTGTGTTAGGGGTCTGAAGAGTGTCTGGTGAAGGGGTTATGTCCCTCAGGCAGTGAGCCACCAGGGGTGGGTGGCTGGCTGGGTGTGTCTGTGTCAGATGGACTGACGGTGCCTTCCTTCTGCAGGTATGTGACTCTGACACTGTGCTGGATCCAGCCTGCACCATTGAGATGCTTCGAGTCCTGGAGGAGGACCCTCAAGTAGGGGGAGTCGGGGGAGATGTCCAAGTAAGAAGTAATCAACGATTCCTGGGGGTGGAGGGTCTGGATTCTGCTTCTTCATCTAATTGGATATACTGGGGAAGTATTCATTTTGTTTTGGAAGGGGGTTTCCTCTTTGACAGTTTCATTGGTATGGAAGAGCTCATCTGCTACCCACCCCCTTTCCTGTTCTATTTCCACTGGAGGGAGGGAGGGCAGAAAATAACTGGTATGAGGAGAGCCTGTGCTGCTGGGAGGGGCACAGTGTTCGAGGCCATCCATCCTAGAGGGTGCTTCCTTTTTGGCTGGTGGTGCAGCAAGGACCTCCAAAGTTAGACCCCCTGAAAAATGCTTCCTGATGGGGACATGACACTGAAGACCTCTGTGCAGTGTGGTATGAATAAAGGGCCAGATCTTCTTCCAGGGGAACTGCTGGCAACATACCATGTCTTCCCAAGCTTTCAAACTGCAGAGAGGGTCAAGATGGGGGGCTGTGGTGTTGCTTTGCTTCTTTATCAAGGCTTTCTCTCAGCCACCACCACAGGCTGCCTCCTGAGATTGAAGGTGGCTTTGGCTGCTAGAGCAACTTCACTGGGACAGTCCATGCCTATGACAGAGGAGAGGTGGGGCTAATGCTGAGAAGAGTTGACTGGGTGTGGTTGCCTCCTCTCAGCCTCTGGTTTCCCAGCTCTGAGTGAGCTGGGACTCGTGGCCAGGAACTAGAGCAAAGGGCTAGGGATCTCAGAGTGTAGGTAGGCCTCCTGGTCTCTGGTGTCTGTCTCCTGGGGCTCTCGTCCTCAGGCAAGGAGGCCCAGAATCTCTGGTTCCCTTGCAGATCCTCAACAAGTACGATTCATGGATCTCCTTCCTGAGCAGTGTGCGGTACTGGATGGCCTTCAACGTGGAGCGGGCTTGCCAGTCCTACTTTGGCTGTGTGCAGTGCATCAGCGGGCCCTTGGGCATGTACCGTAACAGCCTCCTCCAGCAATTCCTGGAGGACTGGTACCACCAGAAGTTTCTGGGCAGCAAGTGCAGCTTTGGGGATGACCGGCACCTCACCAACCGAGTCCTGAGTCTCGGCTACAGGACTAAGTATACAGCTCGCTCTAAATGCCTCACGGAGACCCCCACCAAGTACCTCCGGTGGCTCAACCAGCAGACCCGCTGGAGCAAGTCTTACTTCCGGGAGTGGCTCTACAACTCTCTGTGGTTCCACAAGCACCACCTCTGGATGACCTACGAGTCAGTGGTCACGGGTTTCTTCCCCTTCTTCCTCATTGCCACGGTCATACAGCTCTTCTACCGGGGCCGCATCTGGAACATTCTCCTCTTTCTGCTGACAGTGCAGCTAGTGGGCATTATCAAGGCCACCTATGCCTGCTTCCTGCGAGGCAACGCAGAGATGATCTTCATGTCGCTCTACTCCCTTCTGTATATGTCCAGCCTCCTGCCGGCCAAGATCTTTGCCATTGCTACCATCAACAAGTCTGGCTGGGGCACCTCTGGCCGAAAAACCATTGTGGTGAACTTCATTGGCCTCATCCCTGTGTCCATCTGGGTGGCAGTCCTCCTTGGGGGGCTGGCCTACACAGCTTACTGCCAGGATCTGTTCAGTGAGACAGAGCTGGCCTTCCTGGTCTCTGGGGCCATCCTGTATGGCTGCTACTGGGTGGCCCTCCTCATGCTGTACCTGGCCATCATCGCCCGGCGATGTGGGAAGAAGCCAGAACAGTATAGCTTAGCCTTTGCTGAGGTGTGATGCAGCCCCCAAGCAGAGCGGGAAGAGTGCAATGGGTAAGGGAGGGAAGGGGAACGGAAGAGAAGACAGGGTGGGAGGGAGAGGGAGTGCTGTTTTAGTTTCTTAATGGTCCAAAGTGCAAAGAATGGTGACTGTCGTATGGCCTGGGACAAGCTCTGCTTCGAGGAGGCAAGTCCAGTGCAGCGGAGGAGGCAGAGGAGGCACTGTTTTCAGGCCGCTTGTCTGCTGCCTCCGCACATACAGGGGGCCTCTGGGCAAGATTCCACTTCCTCCCCTGAAATCCAGAGGAAACTCAGAAGTGTGCTAAAGCAAACAGTAAGTTCCATTCAGTGGCAGCTTCTCACAGGTGAGTGAGCAACGAGGGCCCATGGGAGGGGGTTCTCTTAGTCCACCTGAACACAATCAGAGGTGGTGGGAGTACTTCTGAGTGATCTGGGCCAGCTAGTAACATGTCCCCACCTCAATCTAGTTATCAATGCAATAAGATTGTGCCTGAAATACAAGGCCCAGAAGCCTGATCTTTGGGCATCAGAAAACAGGGTCCAGGAATGGTGCTTTCTTATGTGAAGTACCTCATTCCACATCTCAGCATCCCAAGGATGAGCCAGACTAGCAGGGAGTTAGCACTGTACTGTTTTTAAGTGTGTGTGTGTGTGTGTGTGTGTGTGTGTGTGTATGTTAAAAAGGAAAGCTGGCCAGGAGGAACAAACATTGATGGTGGTGCTAAAAGCCATGGGTTACATGGAGGCTGGGAGCTGACTGTATTCTACCTGGAAATTGCCCAAACATCTAGATTAGCTTGTCTGTGATCTCTTCTGAGGAGGTGAAATGTTTTGGTCATCTACCAAGAAGATCAAACCCTAATGTGATAAGAAAGGAAGTGAGGACTTGGTATTACAAGCTGTATACTCCTGAATTCCTCTCGCAAATTCAGCTCTGAGTCTAAGCCAGCCTCCTTACTTGGCTTCCCTTCACGGTGATAGTTACCTCTCCCACCCTCCTCCTAACCAAGTTTTTCAAGGTGGCGAGTGAGACAGAGCCTAGGGCTCTCCTCGGCCCTTCTGCGGTCGGCCAGCCTGCCATCAGCATGTGGGGGGAGATCAGGAGTCTCTGACCAAACTGGCTGCAGCCTGGAGCAGCCTGGACAGGTTCCTTGGCAGCTGGACAGCACACATGACATTCAGGCTGTAGCTCTTGACAATCACCCCTAATGGAAAGCTTTTCAGCATTCCCTAAGTGAGCCCTCAGTCCACGCCGGTCATCGGTGAGACTGTCCATCCTCCTCAGTGGCTTCTCCAGGGAATTCTTACAGCCAAGTTGTGGAGAGTAACTACTGCACTTGCTTGCTCCTGTCCAGAAACCAAACAAAGGGATGGAACTGGTATCTAAATTCTAAGGTTCTTGTCTTCTCTCACGCCTCTTGAGGATGTTTGATTTTCCTCTGCTTTTTTGGAGAGGGTGTGAGGGAAGGCTGTTTCCTACAGATTTGCAATCCACAAGACTGCTCTGAGCTCTTGGGTTTAAAACCTGGGATACTGACTAAGCCTTTGACTTAGGGGTTGCTTGCTCCAGTGTGCTCTCTCTCCAAATGTCCACTCCAGAGGGCCTGCTGACCTGTCAGAACCAGCACCAAGGTGGAGAGTAGTTGGGGGCAAGCCTCTAGTGTGCCCAGGTGCTGCCCGTAAAGGAACTAGGTGCACTCTGAGCGACTGGCAAACCTTGGTGCTCCCCTTCATCGCCTGCCAACTCATGGGTCTTCCAGGTGCGCCAACACTGCTGCATCGCACAGGCCTCGAGTTTCTAAGAAGACTGCTGGTTGACATCAGGCCTAATCCATGAAGGCTAGGAAGAGGCAGCAGGCATTTGCTAAAGGCAGTTGTTCCGGGCTCTTCCGTGTTTTTGCTGGCCAAGAAGTAAACTATTTTGAGCACTACAATGGAGGAAATCCGGTCAGCCAACTGCAGAGCTCAGACTTCACTAAGGGCTTGTTTTTCTTCAGCTTTTACTTGAAGGTTAACGTGGGATGGACTCCCAGATGGAGAACACTCGGCAGTCCTACTCTCAGCTCTGCCTTGCACTTAAGAGATTATCAACTTTCCCCAGGTCGAGCAGGCAGGTACAAGTTAGTGGGCTCACAACATTTGACCTCGACTGGTTTTTCTAAGTTATTTTGTATATTTTTCAGCAGCGAAACCAAACTGGGTCTTCAGCTTTATTCCCGTTTCTTGCAAGGGAAGAGCCTTTATACAATTGGACATGTTTTGTTTTTTCCTCAATGAGAATTTTAATCCTCTTTTGTATTATTTCTACAATTTGTAAACATATTTATTTTTTTTTTTTTTTTTTACTTTCTGGTGAAATTTTTTATACTGCACTTGTCAAAATAAAGAATCTCATTAAGGCTGGTATCTCTGAACTCCTCCTTTCCTCTTTGAACTAATGAAAGCTCTTTAATTCAGTTCCAAGATGGGTATTTGAGGCAGAACTAGTTTCGGCAAGGTAATTCCCATGGAACTCAGAAGCAGGTAAGTTGTCAAAGCTGCCTCTGGACCTGGGGATACAGTAGGCCTGCCTAGTAACTGCACACCTGTGGTGGCTTGGTTTTTACTGCAGAGGATGCATAGGGTCTGTGGAGAAATATTACTGAGCCAATGAGTTAGCCCTAGCTAACCAGTTAAGGCTAAAAATCAAAGCTTGCTTCCTCCGTGAGTGAAAGTATATTATCTTGAGAGGTCATGGAGGATTCTGGCCAAGTTGAAACAATGAAAAGCAGTGGGTAAACTTCCTTCCGTGTGGAACAGGTAGTAAAAAGGGAGTGAAATCAACAGCCCTCTCCTCTCATTTATTAAAGAAACAGTAAGAAAAGATACAATGCGGGAAAAACACCAACCATCCTTTCACATCAGGCTGAACAGAGCACAGTGATTTCTCCCCTTTATCCCCCCACCCCACCCCAATTCCCATAATCCCATCCACATCAGTTTAACCTTGAGGTTCTTTGATTGGGAGTACCAGTGGAGAGGGAGCTGGATGAGCAGTGGGGCCTTGGTTCTGGCTTCCTCCAAGTCCCAGGAGAGTGAAGCTGCAGTCCGTCTGGGGACACAGCGGATGCTGTATTTGGTGGCTCTCTGAAGTAGCTGCACTTCCCTGTTCTGTGTTCAAGCCTCCAAGGGAAGAAGGTATGGCAGGAGAGGTCAGTGTTGCAGAAGCATGGTCCTTTCACCAACGCAACATTTCTAGAGAGCAGTGAGCTCATTCTCCAGTGGTGAGCAGGGGACTATGTATGAATTGGGACCTGCAGGCCAATGTATCCCTGAGGAAAGGTCCACAAGAACAATTCAAGAAACTAGTAAGAAACAAGGGGCAGAAAGCTGTGGGACAAAAGCACAGCAGGCTCCTGAAGGCTGGAGATTCCTTCTCTCAAGGTGGGTTCATTCCCACATGCCAGAGTCCACATCCCACAGGTAACGTTTCCTTCAGTCAAGAAAGACGCAGAGTGGGGAAAAGGCTCATTTGATCTTGAGCCCCAGGTATGTACTTCAGACGGTAGTTCCATATCTACTCCTTCACCTGCCCAGAACCACAGTGACTAGAAACCAAGGTGGTCCTGGAGAGAAAATGGTGTTTAAGGGGGTAACATTCCATTTGGGTACATTGCAGCCATTGGACCCCCTGGTCTGGGGAAAGCAGCCGGGTTTGTGCCAGGGAGGCTCCCCACTCTAGGAAATGGAACCAAAGTCTTGCTCACAGGGCCATTCATTCTTGAAAAGGAAGCTGGGTTTACACCCAGGGTCCCAGTTGGCCTTGCAAAAGGAGCTGGGTTGATACCCACGGGGCCTGCTGGCGAAGAGCCTAGGGGCCCTGGAGCTGGCCTGGGGAAGGTAACCGGACCAGGGCCTAACGGGCCAGTAGACCTGGGGAAGGTAGCTGGACTTGGACCCTGTAAGCCAGTGGCCCTTGGGAAGTTAGCTGGGTTGGGGCCTAGTGGCCCAGAGGCTCTTGGGAAAACTGCTGGACTTGAACCCTGGAGGCCAGCAGACCTCTGGAAGTTAATTGGGTTTGAAGCCAATGTGTTAGAAGACTGAGAGAAGGCAGCTGGGTTCAACCCCCCTGAACCTGTCCCCCTTGGAAAGGGATTAGCATTTACTCCCATAGGGCCAGCAGGCCTTGCAAAATGAGCTGAATTAGGGCCAATGGGGCCAGGAGCCCTTGACAGGGGAGATGGATTTGGCCCTGGAAGGCTAATTCCCCGAGAGCCAGGCCCTGAATTTGGGCCTATGGGGCCAGGAAGTCTGGCCATGGAAGATGGGCTTGTGCCCATGTTTCCAGAAGCCTGTGAGAAAGCAGCTGAATTTGCTCCTAAAAGACCTGCTGCTCTTAGAATGGGAGCAAGATCTAAGCCTTGAGGCCCAGCCATTCTTAAGTTAAGACCAGATCCTGTGCCCAAGAGGCCACCTGCTCTGGCATCCAGATTAGGACCTGGGCCCAGGCCACCTGCCCTTGGATTAGGCCCAAGGCCTGGGCCCAGGCCACTTGATCTTGGGTTGGGCCCAAGGCCGGGACCTGGAAACATACTTGACCTCGGGGCAGGGTTTGTACCTACAAAGCCTGACCTCAGATTGGGACTCGGTCCAGGGCCCAGGCCAACAGGTCTAGGATTGGGAGGACCATTCCCAGAAGTCAACAGGACACCTGCTCTCAGGCTGGGTCCAGATCCAGGGCCCATGGGGCCACCACTTCTGAGGTCAGGACCTGTTCCCAGAAGACCACTTGGCCTTGGGTTGGACACTGGACCTGGCCCTGGGAGACCCCCTAGCCTTGGGTTAGACAGAGGCCCTGGGCCTGGAAGAGCCCCTGCCCTAGGATTCAGAGTTGACCCTGGGCTTGGGCCCAAGAGACCACCTGGCCTTGGGAAAGAAACTGCACCTGTGCCAGTGGGGTTCATCCCTCTCGGGAAAGAAGCCAGGCCTGGGTCACGAGCACCAGCAGGGAAAGGTGCTGGATTTGAAGCCAGTGAGCCTGATGAAGTGGGAAAAGGAGTGGGGTTCCTTGGAAATGGGGCCAAATTTCCACCAAGAGAACTGCCTGCCATAAGGAAGGGATCCGAGTTCATACCCAGTGGGTGGCCTGTGTTTAGAACAGGACCCCCCTGGGGTCCTAGGGAACCGTCCAGCCGTCCTCGAGGTGGCAGGGGGGCACGAGTCCAAGGAGTTGGCCGCTCTCGAGGGAAAATCCTAGGCTCTTTCATACTTTCCTGGGGACGTTGGTGATGATGGGCTTGGGGCGAGTTTTAAAAAGGATCTTGTTTTTGATGAGTGCTGTCACCAGGTACCGGGTGCCACTCTCACAGCCAAGTGCATCACAGTCCTGCTGCCCAGGAGTGTGTTTAACAAGGACGGCAAAAGGTCTCTCCAGGTGGATGATCTTCCCGTACAGGATGTGATGCCCCACGATCAGCACAGGGGTTCCCTTCGGCAGAACAAGAAGGAGACACCTGAGGTTCAGGAAGAAGTCATAAAATTCAGGTGCCTTCCAGAGATGCTCTTAGGAGATGATGCTGGCACCTCCACTCCCTCTACCATTGCTGAGAAGCCACAACGGACAACCCACCCTCATATCCTTTTTACTCTTTCCAGCCCCAGGTAAGAGAATTTCTACTTTCAGAACCATGACCTTTCCAGATTCCCCAAAGCTAAATTACCCTGCTACTGCAGAGGTCAGGGGTAGAGGGGAGAACAAGTGGAGCTTGGCTAGACCCTGAATAACAAACCTGAGGGCAGTCCTCACTGTGGGTCCTGGGAGCACCACCTTGGTGTAGCTTGCTTTCCTGAGGCATTAGGCAGGGAAAGAAAAGTCCCCTCACCTCAGTGGTGTAATGTAGGTCTCCCAGGAGGTTTCCAGCTAATCCAGTGCTGTGGCGAGCCTCGATCTCCCCCTGTAGCTCCATCAGCACCCATTCTGCCAGGCCTCCAGCCCCAGCACTGCAAGCAAAGGGCTGGCGGTTACACTATTTTGGAGGGTGAAGGATGAATCATAGTGTCCTACACCACCATTCAAGGCTCAAGGGAACACCTTGTTGAGCACAAGTTCTTGGGAAATTGGGCAGTGCCAAGCACTGAACTCAAAACTGAAAGGCTGGGATTTGTGCCGGATGCATCTGAGGACCCCAATTCTTCCAGGGAAATTTCAAACCTATGTAGACTTGATCATTCAAGCTAAATTAAAGCTCTCAAAATTTACTCACCTGGAAATAACAATCTGCACCATGAGCTTTACGTCTTTAAAAAGCAACGGAAAAGAAGCTGTAAAGGAAAAATATATTTTTTATAATAATCATAACTAATACTGTGTGCCAGGCACTTGCTTCAGATCACCAAGGGTCAACTACAGTGTGGAAAGTTAATAGGTACCACAGTTGTGTTCAAGGTCACATAGCTACTAGTCAACCAGCCAAGATTTGAACCCAAGACATATACTGCAGAGCCCACCCTCTCGTCAGTATGCTAACTTGCCTTTCCTTTAGGGGCGTTATATTTTCCATTCTGTGTATGTCTAAAAAACTAAGGAATTCTTTTAGATTTTACTTTTTCCTTTGGTGATGGTGTAAATGGATGTCTGACACTTTGGTTATATTTCAAGATTTAAAGGATCCCTCTGAACTAAAGGCTGAGAGAACAGAAAAGGTCCTTCAGACTTTAGTGAATGGTAAGCTTATTTCTAACGTGATTTTCATCAAACACATTGCCCATCTTTCATTTAGACACTCAAACAACCCTGACGCTTAATCTTTCATTTTATACAATGGCCCCATCTGGTGGCAAGTTTGCAGTACTCTACAAGAATGAATTAAAATGGGACATTTTTGACTGAAACTGACTTCTTATACTTGTCTTCCTAAGAAAGGTAGATTGATGGGGAGACTTGAAGGGATGGGGGATCTAAACTATGACTTTTGTACAAATCTTTCCAATGAATAGATGAAGGCTAGTGCAAGGTTATCAGATCAGTGTTTACAAACTGTAGAACAAGTTAATAGGTATTTATAATTGTGCTCACAATTAGCAAACACCTGCTGAAATAGGTTTCCTTATTGACATGTCAATCTGTTTTGAATCTCCAGGGAAAAGTATCAATATACTGCCAGCAGCCCTGTATGACAGCAGAACCTCTTACTCTTGAGCACCAGACACACTTTGGAATCAAGAGGCTGGTCAATATCTGGACTTTAAGTATAAATAGCAGCTAGTATTTATTCAATGTTTACTATGAATCAGATGCTGTGCATATATATTATAGGTGGTATCTCATTCAACCACTGTTAGACAGGGACTTACCCATATTTTGCAGATAAAAGTTACTGAGGGATATACTCTTGCTTATATGTGGTACAAACACAGCTAGCAGGTGGCAGAGCCAGCGTAAAAACCTAGGCCATCTGACTTCACATTTGTAATTAATACCTCTCAACCAAGGAGAAAACCAAATGAGAACAAAAAGGCATGAAGGCATCAGGCAGGCACTGCTTACATGCATTTAGCAAGAGCTAAATCAAGAAGGCATGCTTGAATAAGTCAGACCTTCTGCAGCACTGCCTAGTGTGGTACCCCTTGAACACAGATAATACATTGGCTCAGGCGAGTAAAGGTCTGACAGGTGAGAAGGCCGTACCTCCACCATCAACAGACCAACCAAAGCACTTTTAATATTCTTCCAAGGTCTCTTGAAGGAGAAAGACTAACAATTTAAAATTATAAGCCCTAAGTTCAGGTTCCAGACTCAAGTGTGGACACTCATCATCACACACAAGTCACTGTGGGGCTAAAACCTAGATTGTCAGCTTCATTTAACTATTATGAAAACCAAATATTATAAGACATGTGGAACTGCTTTAGAAGACTAACATACAGCTAATTTTTCAAAGGATAAGTAAATCAGCATTTCCACATTATAACTATAAAACTTAAGAGGTAGGTACATTTTAGCCATAAATCAAAAAAGGCTCAATAAATTAAACTGAAGTTGTGAAGTTTCTAAGGGTTAATAAATCCATGTAGATCAAGAAAGAGTTCTTGTAAATGAGTTTTTAAAATTGTATTTTTTTTTTACTGATAACTGCTTTACAGTATTTGTTTAATTTAAATAAACTTTTGGTGACTGATGATACAGTGTATTTTCCTTGGTAAGTGTAAGTGATAGTAAAATACAGGTAGTTTCAGAGAAGCAATAAAGTGTTCACATAGATACACATTTTAGGAAAATCATGACAAGGAAGGAGATTAATCTTTAAGACCTCTGACTTTGAGGTAGGAATGCACGGACTGTTTAGAAAAAGGGTATGTATTAATAGAAATATTTTCAATGCATTCCCTATTTCCTGGACAGTCTCCTGCCAGAACAAGAATTCAAAATAGTGGCCTACTTAGGGCTTTCACTGCCATGGGCCTGGGTCAGAGAACTAAGATCCCACAAGCTGCGAGGTGTGGCCAAAAAAGCTAAATAAATAAAAAGAAGAAAAAGTGGTCGAAGTGGATAAAGGAAAACAGATGCCTGATAGCTGGGTCAGAGTAGCTGCACCTCCATACTTGTTGCTAATGCTTCAGCAAGCCCACACAGCTCTCGATCCACTTATGTAGGATGCCCTGCCTGACTACACCTATTGATACAGGCAGACAGCTAGCAATTCTCCTAAAAATAAGAATCCTGTGGCCTAAACACTTGTGCTAGACCTAATGAGGCTGGAGATGTGACGACAAATGAAGTTCACATCCAGCTTGCAAGAGTCTAGCTCACAGGAAGCCGTGGACTGATATGGCTGTATTTATGTACATAGGGGTGTATTTAGCAAGTTAGTATTAATAAATAATGCAGGGGAATGCATCCCTTTGAATTTTAAAATTCTCCCTTAGCACCTTAAAATATCCTATTGGCTGAATGAGATTACTCTTTTTTCTTGCTCCATGCTCTAAACAGCTGTTCTTAAAACTAGGTGTGTTTACCTGGGCACTTCACTAATAACACACCTAACAGAGGTGCATTTCACCCAGTGTGGAGATAGCTAAAAAAAAAACATGAGAACATGCAGTCCAATCTGTCCCCATCCCCTTGAGAGCAGGCAGAGCAAGTTAGGAAAACAAAGAGGTGAAGAAGTAAAATACAAGTCAAATCCTGTTGGTAACAAGTAACATTATAATGAAAAATTTCTGTAAAACAAAGAGATTTCTAAGTCTTCAGTCTCAACTCATTCCAACATTTACAAATAACCAAAGCAATTTTTAAGTGTCTGTTCTAAGGTACTGCTTGTGTAGAAACTGCAGCTGTTATCAAGAGCAATATCTGAAGGCACAGTTTGACCAATGTACCATATCAAATCACGAAACTAAAAGTCAATGGAAAAGATTGCCCAGCACCTCTCTCTCTCAACAGCCTTGAGTTTAATCCCAGATTTAGATAGGATCAACTGTTTTTGGTTAAGAATAATAATTCCAAGTTCCTGTAGAGCCAGGAAGAATTTTATGATCTCACTTTTCAAAAAGATGTTTAAATTCAATGTATTTCAGAGTGTAGTCTCAAAAGCCACGACTACAGTATGGACTTGGAGATGGAAGGTATGGAAAAAAACCAAACACCTTTTCCCTGCAATGAATTATTTTGACTCCCTATCCCCTCTTATAGAAGGGGAAATTTTTTTCTACCTAAGTTTTTGAGGCTATTACATGGCTAAATAAATACATATGTTCTGTACTCATTAGTCAAATGACTTTAGCTATGTAAAAGAAACTTTTTATAAAGCATTGTGTACATTTTAACTATTTTTTTCCCTTATGGAAAGACAAAAGCAAAATGTCTTTGGGGGGGGGGGCTTCAAGATTTCTAGAAATAGTATCTAAAATTTTTTTAGAAATATCTGAGGTTATCCTAGATCATTCCCAATCTTAAGACCTGGAGTTATTTTGGAGGTTGCAAGTAAAGCTGAAACTGTTTCTCAAGACAGTGGTCCAGATGACTTCAAGAGGCCTGAACAAACGACAGAGTAGCAAAGGAATCCCTTCTTCTCAAGACAAACCCATACTCACAACGGGAGCCCTAATCAAAACTCAAAAGGTTTGTCTGAAATCAGACCAAATCTGGGATATATCTTAACTGTCATTTTGAAGTCAGTTACTATTAAAGTTGTTAAAAACCCGAAAAATCGAAGTGCCACCAGTTTCCTAATTAGAAAAAAAAGTTCAGGCGAAGCATTATAATACAGAAAGCTTCTTCTTACATAGCTAAACCTTTCTGAACATTTACCTGGATTTTTTTTCATCCTGAAAACAATCCTATGATACAGGCACTGTCTGTCACTCCCTTTTCACAGTGAGGAAACAATGCTTAGAGAAGTTAAAGGTTAAGTAACTGGTCAAACACCTGAGAGTGGCTGGTGCGGAATATGACCTTAACTCCCCCACAATCCATCCTTTCCTGCGGTCCTCTCATATAGCAACCCACCTCTGCCATGCCTGATGTATATAGAGGAACCTGCTTTATAAACACTGTCTTTCTCACAGCATCTACCACAGGATGGCAAATTAACCACCTATGAGGAAAATCTTACATACTGCCACTATGACATCTGTGGGGTAGGCAGTTGAAATCAAGTAAGCATGCTTTTCATCATATCCAATTGATGAGGCTTAAGTTTCTGAAATCCCTAGAGATGTACTCAAGGTCAGCTCCAGGATTCAAAACTATAGCCCAAACCAGTTTCCTCAATGTTAGACAAAGTAAGTCAAAAGAACAGAGCATTCTTTGTCACTGATTCATCTAATCTACAAAATTTTTTATCCATTGGTTTCTGAATTATTTGTTAATATTACTAAGCGCTTAACAGAGAACACCATGAGCAAGGATCCTTAATAATGGTAACACCCTCCCAAAATAAGATGTAACAGAAAGTGTGGTATGTATGGTATTAATTTTATTAGAGCTAAACAGTCTTTTAAAAATTGTTTTCATTAGGCCCTTTCAATTTTTCTTTTTAAAAAAAGGGGAATAAAGACTTCCAATTTATTTTTTTTAAATTCGTTTTTATTAAAAAAAATTAAATATGACAAAATATTTGCAAATTGCTGGGCCAACAATTAGCTTTTATTGAGTCCTTATTCGGTCTCAAGGACTATTCTGTGTTCAGGGATTTAGTGAGAATTCAGTGTCAGACCTGCCTTCTGTGATTCTACCATCTTTCTAGCCTATGTATGATGGAGGTAACATAATCTGTCAGTTTCTCC